AAAATGCAGCAGCGAGGTTGGTTTCACATTCAGCTGACGTCAGCAGGAGGAGGAGATGTGACCCCCACCATGTGTGTTTCATTCACACACACACACACACACACACACTGCTGATTTCCATCAGTTTCATTCCTGGACTCTCACAGAGCAGCTTTGCATGATTCGCTGCTCAGAATAATCCTTCTTTATCTGGTCCAGCCGGTCAGTTCATCCTCAGCCTGAAACAAGCTGTTTACAGCGTCCTCATAGACATGAGACAGCGATCATCAGAGTTTCTGGAGGACCAGTGATCAGGTCTGTCATGAGCTGAAGACCCAATGAAAAAGCTTTAAGCAGAAAAACAATGATCATGAAAATGACTCTAAAGAGGAAAGAATAGCCACAAGTGACCAAACAGATCCAAAAGAAACCAAAACAAGCAGAAAGTGTTGCCAAACAACAAAGACCAACAAACAAGAGACACACAGCTTAAACTGTCACAAAGAGACACAAACTGAGCAAGAAGAGGATAAAAAGACTGAAATAAGTGCAGGAAATGACCAACAAGAGACACAAAGACACAAAATGACACAAAGAAACTTACAAAAAAACAAGAACGTGCCAAAACCACCAAAAACAGCCAGAAATGCAGTAAAAAGATGCAAAAGAGCCGAAAGATCAGGAAGAGAAGCAAAACTGCTCGTCTGCAACCGCTTAGTGTCACATGGATGTGGGCGGAGCCAGTCGGCTGGTACGGTGACGGCACAGACGATCACGTGACAGACGTGTGGATTCGTGAAAAGCTTTGATGAGCCGTGTGCATTTCCAGGAAAGGTCAAAGGTCAGCACAGGTGTGGACGCATGTCCTGCAGTCACATTTCAGGCATGCTCAGAGCGGTCACATGTGATGAGGGAGCGTGGTCACCTGAGCTTCCTGAGACCGCCCCCTGAGGGCTCCACGCTCAGGACGCCGGCCTCTGTTCGGGCCTTTTAGCGGCTGTTTCATGATCATTCGTCTTTTGATCCTCGATGATGTTTTTATTTTTTTGGTTATTTGTGATTTTTCTTGTAGTTTTATATTTGTTTGTTAATTTCTGGCTGTTTTTGGTCCTTTTACGTCCGTCAGTTTTTATTTTGTGGCTGTTTTTTAAAATTATTTGTGTCTTTGTGACGCTGGTTTCTGCGTGTGGTGATGTTCTGTTGTTCTGTTTGTTGTCATTTTGTGTCTGTTGTTATTGTTTTGTGTCTTTGTGATCATTTGTGTGTTTTTGGTCGTTGTGAATTTCTTTTGGTCAGATATTACGTTTGTAAAGATGCCCCGCCCCCTCCGTAAATATGACCGGCCCACCCAACATCAGTGATCAAGAGTAATGTTATGATGTATGATGCTGTGTTATTCTCCTTGTCTGCAACATCAAAGTGACGGCAGAATGATGAATGTGTGAATCAGTGTGAACTCTTTGACGCTCACACTTTGACCTGGACTGTAAACTCTTGTCTGAGGCCTTTAAATATATGTTTAATAATAATAAAATAATATAAATATTAAATAAAATAAAAGTTAATTAATAATTAAATAATAATTAATGGAAGAATTCACATTATTTTCATAACAAATTAAATAATTCTCAGTGCAATACCGGAAATGACCACCAGGAGGAAACTGAACAGAAACACACCTGTGAAGATTCGGCCTCAGGCGTTTGAGGGGAGGAGCTTAACTTCAAACACAAAAGGTCCAACTAAAGAAATAAAAATAAAT